TGCCCCATCTCAAACTCATACATAATTTTGCTAATTTTCTGTCTAACCTTAAAGCTCTCTTTCAGTATTAGAGTAAATGGTGGATTCTCTGTAACTTAAAGCCTTAAATTATGATTTGAGGACTTCAGTAACTCCCTAGGGGTCTATTACAGGAGTGGGTGGGTGAGGATCTGTGGCCTGCAATGTGCAGGAGGTCAGACTAGATCAGGGATCAGCAACCTTTGGCACGTGGCCCATCAGGGAAATCCGCTGGCGGGCCAGGATGGTTTGTTTACCTGAGAATGGGGGCTGCGGGAAGCGGTGTGATGTGCTGGCCGCCGCTTCCCGTGGCCCCCATGGCCTGGAACGGCGAACTGCAGCCAGTGGGAGCTGCGATCGGCCAAACCTGCGGACACTGCAGGTAAACAAACAGTCCCGGCCTGCCAGCAGATTTCCCTGATGAGCCACATGCCAACGATTGCCGATCCCTGGACTAGATGATCACAATAGTCCCTTCTGGCCTTAAAGTCTATGAGCATTACTGTTTTCTGGGTTTCTTCATATCTGTAATGAGAATATCTGTATTTAACTTATTTTTCCCAGCTGTATTAGATTGCATATTTCCCACTTGAATCTCATGTTGTTTTCAACACAATTTATTATCTTTGTTAGGCACTTAGCACTAATCCCTGGGATATCCCTGCTATAAACTTCCCAGAAGTTGTCTACACAACTGGGAGACTAAGGGAGTTAGCCAGCTGGTGAGTATCTGTGGGCCCTTCTGTTTTATGGCTATTGATTAACTCTGGGGATGGGTGGGGGCAAAAGAGGAGCATGTTCTGTGCTGGGAACTTGCCATTGGGTTTGGTAGGATTCTGGGCTGGTTGCTGTGTTGTGTAATCTAGGCTAGGTTGCTCACTATTTGGGCTAGCTTGCCGTGCAGTTAGGTGAATTAGCACCTGCTTTCAGGCAGGGCTCTTTGAAGTCAGTACAGTTTCTGATTGGATAGGTCAGTGACTAGAAACAGCTGAGTGAGAGGTGGTGGAGTCACCCATTCTAGCTGTGTTTGGGACCCAGACTTTAAAGAGCATGTAGGCTTCGAGGAGCTGGTAAAATGAAGGCAGCTGGGAGATTAAGGGAGTTAGCAAATTGACTAAGGTAGGGAGGTAAGGTTGTGTGTTTTGTTTTTCCTTTCCTTAACTTGCAGATACTTTAAAAGGAAGAACTTGGAGTAGGAAGAAATTGCATGACACCAACACCACTATTAGCTCTTCCTTTGCCTGCACCTGTGGAGGCTCCCACTAAACAGACACCCCGACTCTGGAGGTTTCTTCTCAGGCCCTGGTCTTGACCTGCTGGGAATGCTGTTGCAGGAAGGAGTTCTGGTGGGAAGAGATGGGGTCTTCCTTTCCAAGAAGGGGGAGAGAATCTTTGCGCACCGCCTCACATATCTAGTGAGGAGAGCTTTTAGCTAGGCTCAGAGGGGACAAGTGACAAAAGCTCACAGGTATGTACAAAAAAGTAACCTTAACAGAGGGCTAGATGATGGCGTGGCGGGGGAGGGGGCCTGGGAAATTACAGATTTCCCTCTTCTTGCTCCTATCGATAGGAGCAAGAAGAGGGAAATCAGTGAGGGAAATTTTAGATATTTATACAAAAATGCAAGGAGTATGAGGAATAAACAGGAAAACTGAGAGTATTAGTACATAAACTAGATTATGACTTAATTAGCATCCCAGAGACTTGGTGGGATAAGTCTCATGACTGAATTATTGGTATAGACTGGTATATCTTGTTCAGGAAGAACAGACAGGATTAAAAGAAAAGGCGTGTTTCAATAGTTATCAGAATGTATACACTAGTTCTGAGGTCCAGAAGGAGGTCAGAGGCAGACCAGTTGAAAGGCTCTAAAGATAAAGGGGGCAAAAAATAGGGGTGACGTCAAGGTAGGTGTCTATTAGAGACCACTAAATCAGGAAGAGGAGGTGGGTGAGGCATTTCTAGAACAAACAACAAATATCAAAAACACAAGACCTGGTAGTAATGAGGGACATTAGCTACCAGACAGCTGTTGGAAAAGTGATATGGCAAAACACAACATTTCCAATCTTGGAAGGTATTGGGGACAACTTTTTGTTACAGGAAGGAATCAGGGGGATAGCCATTTTAGACTCTATTCTGACCAGTTGGTAATGAATCTGAAGGTGAAAGGCAATTTGGGAGAAAGTGATCATGAAATGATGACTTTGTGGTTCTAAGGAAAGGAAGTAAGTAGAGAAGCTGAATAAGGACAATTGTCTGAGATTTTTTTTTTTTAGTCTAACTCAGAACTAGTAGATAAGGTCCCTGGGAAGATAATCTAAAGAAAGGTGTCCCGGACAGCAGGCAGTTTCTCAAGGAGATAATATTAAATGCAGAATTACAAACTATCCTGCTATGAAGGAAATAAAGGAAGAATAGTAGGAGGTCATGGCTCTATCATGAGACCCTTAAAGACCAGAAAATCAAACAGGAATCTTACAAAAAGTGGAAATATGAACTAAGGAGGGATACAAAAGAATAGTAGAAGGGTGTAGGGAGAAAATTAGAATGGCTAAAGCACAAAATGAGTTATACTTAGCAAGGACATAAAAGGTAATAAGAAGCATAGGCAGTGCATGACTCTCATTTGGAGAGGCTTATGCGAGCGCTGGAAGTTCCCTAGAACTGTGGGGAGCCACCGGTTCCCTGACCATGGTCCCACCCCCCTGCCCAACCCCAAGGCCCTATCCCTGCTCAGCCTCTTCCCCCAAAACACCCCCCGCCTCTCCTGCCGCTGGCTCCTCTCCTCCCTCTACCCCCCATAGCTCTCTCTTAAGGCAGGAAAATAGGGAAGGGCATAGCCTTCCCACTTTTAAAAGTCATGGGGCCATGGCCCCTGGCTCCCCCTAGTCTGGTGCTCCTTAGCTGAGCTGCTCCAGCATCAGTATGCAGAGCAGGAGGAGGAGTCCCACAGCTGGACTGTGAGTGTTAATGACGGTGCTAAGGGGTGCCGGAACGGGGGGGGGGGATCAGGGGGCCATGGCCCCATCACTTTTTTCCTGCCTTCAGGGCGAGTGATGGTGGGGTCACAGGAGAAGAGGCAGAGCAAAGGCGGAGCCACAGTCTGGGTGCCAGTGGCCCCCCCACTTCTAGGGAGCTTCCGCTGGCGGCGCTCCAAAAGCTGGCGCACCTTCAAAGGGAGGTGACCCTGCTGCATCCAGCATTTCTTGTCGTTTGCATGGCCAGCCTTTTCTGGGGAGGCTTAGCCTCCCCAAGCCTCTTATATGCACCACCCATGATAAGAAGAGATAATTTAAATACATTGGGAGCAAAAGAGAGATGAAGGAAAATATAGGTCCTCTACTTAGTGGGGAAGGAGAGCTGATAAATGATGACATCAAGAAGGCTGAAGTCTTTAATACCTATTTTGCTTCAGTCTTCACTAAAAAGGCAATGGTGACCAGATACTCAACACAGTTAATATAACAACAAGGGGGAAGAAGCACAAACCAACATCGGGAAAGAACAGGTTAAAGAATACTTAGATAAGTTAAAAGCTACAAAGAGTCCTGTGGCACCTTATAGACAAAGAGTCCTGACGAAGTGGTATTCACCCACGAAAGCTTATGCTCCAATACGTCTGTTAGTCTATAAGGTGCCACAGGACTCTTAGTCGCTTTTTACAGATCCAGACTAACACTGCTACCCCTCTGATCATTAGATGAGTTAAACATATTGAAGACAGCAGGAGATGAAATTCATCCTAGGGTACTTAAGGAACTAGCTGGATTTTCAACTAGTTGTGTACCAACCACTCAGTCATTTCATCTAGACCAAGCCTCCATAAAGTATTATTCATTGTTAAGGATGCACACCAGCTAGACCAGCTGATCTGTCCATGTTAAAGTTCTCAAGAATCCTCTTACGTGCTTTGACTGACCCCTGTACCCTTATGCTGTGTTTTTGTAGTTGTGTCGATCCCAGAATATTAGTGATGTAATATTGTTTATTGAACCAAATTCTGTCTCTCTTACCAACGAGATATTACATCACTCTCCTTGTACTCTTAAACAGTTTGACTTCCTCTGTACCTACAAGGGCACTCAATGGCATTTTTGTGCCACAGCCCTCTGCCTCCATCTGCCCAATAGAAAAATCATGCCACCATTTAAGACCTATGCTTCTGTAAGAAGCAGAACATCATCAGCACCTTCACCATCCCAGGAGATTCTGTGATGTAGCTGTAACTTTAGTGCCCTCGTGGCCAAGATGGACTCTGCTCTGCAGGCAGCTCTGGCCAAGAGAAGGCGTGCGCAAGAATGCAGCAGGAGAAATCCCTTCCACCCCAGGGGCACCTGTTCCAAACCCCCCAGAGTGAACACACCCACACACGGGAAAAGTACAATGGATATAACAAGGGAAATATTTATTTACAGAGGGATGAGAGGAGAAAAAGAACAAGGGAAAATATAGGGGGAGCAGTAAAACAGGGCTGCATCCAAGCCAAGGCCCCACAGGCCCAGTGGTAGCACAGTCTAGAAGGGCAGACACTGAGCAATGTGTCTGCACACAGAGTTCAGAAGTCCTGAGCAAAGTTCCAGTCCAGTGGTGAGTCTTGGGTGCTCCTGGTCGTCTTCGGCGCCAGTGAACTTTCCCCAACAAACCCCTCCAGTGCCCTCTTCTGCTGCTCTCTGCAAAGCCACACAGAGCGACCACCTCCCCACTTAACTAGCTAGCAACCTCCCTCCTTGTCCCCAATGCAGAGTCATAAGCTCCAGTACTTACAGCCCCGTGCAGCTCTGGGCAGCCGTGATACTGGGTCCAGCTCCGGCCTGTCCTTCTCGGCAATTCCTCCCTGGCACAGTGCTCCTCCTGGCTCCTGTCCTGGGGTGTCCCCGATCGGCCCTGTCTGTCCCAGGCCTTGGGCAGGTTCTCTGCTGCTTCACTTTTCCAGGGCCTGCACGCTGCCTCTCCCTCTCCTTGCAGCTCCAGCACTGCCCCCTGGAGTTTCCCTCCTTTTTTCTTACTCTCCCCCTCCCGCTTAGGAAAAAGATTTAAAGGGACATGCTCTCTAAACCCCAAAGGGTTTACATAGCATTTTATACACACTTTCCTCATGTTTAAATGACTGTGTAAGGTGCAGGGCAATTAAGATTCTGGTCTTCTCTGTGCCATGTTGTAGGGATGGGAGTTTGCATCCATCCTTTCTCCCACTGTAGAAAAGTGTGTGTAGGTAGGGGACAATTCAACAAAGAAATGGTAAGGTGGATGGCTAGCTAATGGGACAAAATTTAATATAGGAAAGGGCAAATACAATGGGGGTAGGAGTGGGAACTAGGCAGCAAGTGAATAGAAAAGGGTTGGAAGGAATCATCTGAGGGTATCAGCAGAGAACTGGAAGGACAAAAGGTGTCAGGGGAATGGGAAGAGAGAGAGAGAATAAAGTGTGAAACAACAGAACAAAATTTCACTACCACATTCATCACTTTTGAGTTGATGCTCCCTGTCATTACACAATACTTTTGCCTCCAGCTAGTCAAACATCTGACCAAAACATTTTCCTGTTGGAAAATATGGTTGCCTCAAAATTGAAATTTTCCATGAGAAAATATTAATTTTTTTTAGATCAGTGGTTTTCAACCTTTTTTCATTTGCGGACCCCTCAAAAATTTCAAATGGAGGTGGGGACCCCTTTGGAATTCTTAGACAGTCTGTGGACCCCCAGGGCTCCATGGACCACAGTTGAAAATCACTGCTTTAGATTTTCAGATCAGAACGTTTTAAATGAAAAATATTGCTTAGCTTTGTTTTGAAAAAGTCCACGGAAATTATTTTTAAAATAATTAAATAGTTATCCTGTGAAAACTACCACATGAAAAAACTGGGTTTTCCACCCAGCTTTACTTTTGACATATACTGCTAACATTTCTCTTGTCTCCTACACAGGTTATACTAACTGAGAATGACACTACTGTGAAGAAAATAAACGTTTAAGTTATGACCATTACACCATATTCTCCATGATTTAGGAACTTCTCTTATATTTAATACTTGTTTGAAACACTACATTATTTGTTATATCAACATATTAGTAAATTAATGCTTTTATTCTTCATCTCTATCAACTATCAGATTTTGTAAACTGAAATTACATAGCATTATTTTGGTTAAGTGAAAGCTCTCTATCCCACTCACTACCTACTTCAAAGCCTACTTAACAAGTCCAGCCAATTTTCAGCCTAGGAGGCTAGAGATCATCTCATTCAGCTAATTGTAATTGTAATATCTTGAGCATCCAAACCCTTCCCCTCTGAACCACAAACACATCCATCAGTAGGGGACCTACTTTGGACTTCTTCATTCACTCTTGAAAATGGAAGTATCTCAGAGAAGAGTATCTGAGTCCTTCGAGCCCATAATAGTTCTTTATCCCAGTTCCCTGAAGTAATTCTTGCTTATAATGAATCTTCCTTTACTGTTGTGGGTTTGTTTCCAGTGGGAAACAAATGTTATAATCAGTGGGATCAATTGCAAAGTTAGTTAACTGATGTAACAGTCATTCACTTTCCCATCATTCTTGAAGAACTTCATTAGTCTAACTGTAACATTCTTTATTCTGGCAGCAAAACATCCTATTTTATTTTAGTTAGTTAGTTCATTCATTTTCTGGGTTATATAGGTCTCTGGTGGGATTCCTCCAGAGAGTTACCTATCAAGAATATTTGACAGAATTACTACTCTTTCCCAGGCACCAGAGAGCTTTATAATCCCTATAGCCACCCAGAAACATCACTAGTATTCCAGCCTTTCATCAAGCTACACCTCAATTCCACAAGTGGAACATTGGTGGGGCAGGGTCAAACTACTCTAGGAGCTCATTTTAGTTTGTCATAATAGGATTTTGAGAGATGACAACTCTTACGTGACAGTGATGTTTCCAGGTTCCTTTTTCTTTACTGGTTGGTACTTCTCTCCAAATTAAATGGGATAAGTTAACAATTGTCCACCTTCCAATGCAGTTTTGATAAACAAGTATAAAATTGCAGGTCTTATCATTCATGTTCCCATTTGCTTACTGTTTTGTACCCTGTATTCTTAAAAGCCTAATTCATATGATAAGAGGTTGTAGTGAAAGTTAATAAAAAACAAAAACAAAACACTTTTCCTATCTGAATCCCTGCTATGAGCTTTCCACATATGGAAAAACTGGTAACAAGATATTTATTTAATTGCCATAAATTACGTAGCTCTCACATAGTCATTCAAAAACCTCAAGACACGTTAAAAAGGATGGTAAGTATCTTCATCTCACTTTACAGATGGGTTGACCAAGATACAGAAAGGCAAGATGATTTATCTAAAGCCACACTATAGGCCTGTGAAAAAGTACCCAGATGTCCGGACTCTTAGCAGCGGTTCTCAAACTTTAGCAACCCGAGGACCCCCATTTTGATTTATGGACCTCCAATTTTGCCATGGACCTCCAAACCCCCCCTCCCCGCTCAGCCCCAGGCTCCGCCCCCACTCCACCCCTTCCCCCAAGGCCACACCCCAACTCTTCCCATCCCTGATCCACCCCTGCCCCTCCTCTTCCCATCCCTCCCCCAAGTACCCACATCCCCCCTCTCTCCCAGCATCTTCTGCACACCGGGGAACAGCTGTTCCGCAGCATGCAGGAGGCACTTGGAAGGAGGGGGAGTGGTTGATCAGTGGGCCCAGTGGCCCCAGAGATGATTCTTCCTCCTCCCCGGAACATGCCTCATCCCCACTCCTCCCTCTCCTTCCCAGCGCGGATCCCAGTCCTTCCCTCCCTCCCAGTCCACAGATCCCAGTTTGAGAAACGCTGCCTCCCCTTTCCATAGTATCACTAATATGTTTATTAAACTAGAAGATTCAATAAATTTACATATGCTAATTGAATGAGATCATATATATTAAAGCTTAAATTATGCAAGACTGTCCAAGTGGAAACAACTTGAACAGTGAACAACATGAATAGGTCAAATAAGGGAAAAACAGCTGGCAAAAGCAGAAAAAGTACACTAAAACATATGTTTCATTTGTGCAAGTATACAAACATAAACATACATGATAATAATTCACTTTTACTGCAGCTGCTTCCAATCTCTGTTTCTGCCAGCTCCAACTATACCTTTATCGTGCAGACTCAGTTTGTATTCCCATTCCCAGCTTGCTTTGCCTATGCATTTTACTTAAGGCCTGAACTTGTCCCACTGAAGTCAATAGGAGTTTGCTAATGACCTTAACGGGAGTAGAATTAGACAACAGCTGGGCGAAATTTTCAGACTAGCAGTTTATTGAACAAACTGTTTTGATCGACCCTAAGCTATTCATGAATTGGACACAAATAGTTTCAGCCATTTACAAACCCACCAGAGCAGGAAGAGTAAGAGATGGCGCTACTAACCAACTCCCCGCCACCACCCACTTTAGCCCAATGAGTAGAGCACTCACCTGGGATAGAGGAGATGCAAGTTTGAATCCCCACCCAGAAACAGAGTTTTTCTTTTCTGCATACCTCTGCATTTTTCAGCTTCTCAGAGGCCTCTACATTCTTGCAATCTATCTGTTGACATGCTTTTCCTTCCATCTTGTAGATTGTTTCTAAAAAGTTTAAATAAACATATGAAATAGGTTCTCTCTAGGGCTCCTGTCCATGCCTGACAGAGCTCTAATGAAATTACAGTGTATACTCATTGCCAGCTCTGTAACTCTGCAGTGCAGGAGGGAAGAAGGTAAAATTCTAGTTTTTGTTTTAGCCCAGTCTAAACTTTTTAGGTAGTAAAAATGAACTTTGTTCAGGCTTGGTTTAGCATGACAGGATTCACTTTGCCTGAGCAGTTTAATCTCAAAAAACATATGCATTGTCCGCAAACATAAAAAAAAATTATTCTCTATGGGTTCCATTTTCTATATTTAACCCTGCATTTGTCATCAGTTTTCCATCTTGCGTGTCAAAGGAATATTGCTGAATGATGTGTATTAGTTGTTTGTGGGCACTTGGTGGTGAAATCAAAGAAAGTGGTAGCTTTAGATGAACTACAATTAAACATCCACTAATTCAGTAGGAAATGTCTTACATATATTGCAGTTCTTTGCCATTATGAAAACACAGTCTTGAAAACTGGGAAAATATCTGTAGTGCTATTTTCATTAGTGTGCATATAGTAAATAACTGATCTGACCTGAGTTTGGAGAAAGCAGCAACAAGACATAAATATTATTTGGTACAGTTGTCACATTATCTTATATTATTGCTTAGGAGCTACTGTTAGGCTTTTTAAAATACAGTTATGGCTAGAAAATGGACTATGTAAATGGCACCTCCTTACTCAAAAAAACTGCTTCCTATTTGTATACAAAGCCCTATCTTCTTGCTTTCATTACTTACGTTTATATTATTTTTATCTCATTGGCAATAGAAAACCAGCATAGCTTGGGAAGAGGGAACTGGATTCTTTTCTGGCTCACACGTCACCAACAGAATTTTTAGCTAAATTGCAGTTGCAGAATCTTCATTAGCGGTGGTGAGGTGTGAGCCAGAAAGGACATGGGATGGACTTTCAAATCCCAGGGTGAGCTTGAAAGGCTGTCAGTTAGAAAAGCTATTGTTTTACTTGTAAAATGAGCACACTGTATGTTGACGCCTTTGAGAAACAGATGTGGAACTGGACATTGCCATTTGTACAGTCACTTTTCAGAAGATTTAGCTGCACTTTTAAAAAAGGCAGATGCCTACAGGAATGCTTTCGTCTCAACGGCACTCATACTTTCTTGCTACGGCTTTATCAAACCCATATTACGGAAGCCCTTTGGCTGGGTATGAGAATGTTACCTCACCTACTATCCATGCAGACATAGCAATTACTTCTTCTGACCTTAGCAACTTCAAGTATTTTTCAGTAAAAATCGGAAATGTTGTTTTAGGCAAACTCAGGATTCATCAGTTGTCTTTTTCTTAACATAGAGAAGAGCAAGCCTAAGTTTGTCCAAGCCAAACACTACACAATATGAAAGCCACCACTAAGTAGGTGCGGTGAAATTGCGGAACTAATCTTGATTTTAACCAAAAACCCAGGGCATGTTTCTCTAACATAGCAGCTCTTCAGGCCTCCCAGCGATCTTTCTATCAGGAGTGTGCAGGTATTACACCCACATACAGGAGACGAGCAGGAACACAAATGCTGAAGGGTGTCTGGGAGTAGCCAAGAGGACCACTGAGATAACCCAGACCACAGAAGGTAAAGAAAGGGCAGAAAAATGTTAGCTAGAAAAATGGCAGAGTGAGAACATAGGCCAGGCGTTCTGAGCACGGTGATGATATTATTTACAGCAACATACGTCAGGAGTGACTCCAATAAAGTCAACAGAAAAACATGAATAGAGTCAGATGAGAATCAGGCCCAGAGTGTTCTAAGCTGATCTGAAGACAAGTGAGAGTGGTAAAATAGTGACACTTTCACGGACATGGCATTGATTGGGGGTACAAAATGAGTAAGATAAACTTGCCAAGAGAGTGGAAGGGGGTGTAACAAGAAAAAAGAGTTACCATGAGGGAGTAAGAGGCAGGTAAAGAGTTTGCAAGGTGCTGGTACTTCGTGTTAGTTGAGGATGTTGTGAAGGCCAAGACTATAAGAGGGTTCAAAAAAGAACTAGATAAGTTCATGGGGGATAGGTCTATCTATGGCTATTAGCTTGGATGGGCAGGGATGGTGTCCTAGCCTCAGTTTTGCCAGAAGCTGGGAATGGGTGACAGGGATGGATCACTTGATCATTATGTGTTCTGTTCATTCCCTCTGGGGTACCTGGGCTAGATGGACCTTTGGTCCAGTATGGACAATCTTATGTTGTCATGTTCAGAGAAGAAGCCCCCTCCTTTCTTTTGAGAGTTTTTAAAGGGACAGTCTTCTCAGTAGTACCTGAAGTCACTTTAATAACAATTTATTAAAGGCCCAATCCTGATCCTACTGAAGTCAATAGCAGAACTCCATTGATTTCAAAGACGAGAATAGGATCCTTAATATTAACTCCCCATGAGAAACTAAGGACCAGATTGTGACTGTTCTTGGTACAGCTGCCTGGACTTGTGGGGAGGTGATAAGGAGATGAACCCTCCCCCCCCTTCCTTGAGTTCCTGCCAGTTATAGGAACTGTGGACCCTGTACTGGCCTGAGCACAACAAATGTTCTCTCATTACTACCCTTGCAGGCCAATGCTTAATTTATAATGAAAGAGGTGCTGCGACTCTAGCAATTTTTTCTTTCATAACTGATGTGGCAAGCCCAGAGGTGCCGGGGCTATGAACTGCCAAGTCTAGAAGTGCCAGGGCTCAGCCCTGGCAAGCTCTGGCACAAACTAAGCACTGTAGCATACTAAGCTATTCCACAGCATGCAAGAAGCACTGGGAAGGAGGGGGAGTATGGCTCATGCCTGCCAGATGTGAGTGAGCCCTATATATCAAGGCAAGTATCAGGGGGTAGCCGTGTTAGTCTGTATCTACAAAAACAACAAGGAGTCTGGTGGCACCTTAAAGACTAAGAGATTTATTTGGGCATAAGCTTTTTTACCCCACGAAAGCTTATGCCCATATAAATCTGTTAGTCTTTAAGGTGCCACCAGACTCCTTGTTGTTTTTATATATCAAGGCAGTATATCATCAATGCAGTTTGCCCTACAGAAGAACCACCATCAGAGTAGAACAAGAGGGTCACAGAAATTAACAAAAGCATGTGAAATTATGAGACCTGTGTTTGTACGACTAAACTGAAATCTAGAATTCATTAAGGAATAAGTAAACAGAGTGGAATGAGGGTCTTGTAATTGGAAAAGGCTAAGCATAGTGGTCACCCTTAAAAACTTGCCAACTGCCTCAAGGAACTAAAGAATGTTACTTCACCATTTGCCCTATTCCCTAGGTATTCTCTATGGGAAGAATAGTCAACCGTATCTGTTTATCTAAAGCAAAACTGACAAGTTTTAAGGGCAACTTTGCCAAAAGATTTTTTTAGCCAGAAAAATGACAGAGTGAGAACATATGCCAGGCTTTCTGAGCACGATTGTGATATTATTTACAGCAACGTAAGTCAGAAGTGACTCCAGTAAAGCCAACAGAAATACATCAATAGAGTCAGATGAGAATAAGGCCCGGAGTGTTCTAAGCTGAGCTGAAAACAAGTGGGAGTGGTAAAATAGTGACACTTTTGCAGACCTGGCATTGATTGGGGGGTACAAAATGAGCAAGATAAACTTGCCAGCAGAGTAGAAGGGGGTGTAACAGGGAAAAAAAAGTTACCATGAGGGAGTAAGAAGAAGGTACAGAGTTTGTGAGGTACTGGCACTTCATGTTAGTTGAAAAGAGACACGAAAATGTTAGCAGGGAAAACAATCTGGCCCTCAACCAGATTAATTTAGTAAGATCCATGTGTTCAGCAGGCCATGTTTTCACTTCCATAACTTCTGAGAACTGGGCTTCAGAACTGAATGACACAGTATAGACACTGACATTGTGTGCTTGGCTGAAACTGTCAATTGAATGCAAATATTTATTTTATTTCATTCTTTGGACTTAAAGCTGTAACAATGAGTTTAAAAATTACTTAACCCCCATCCCCTCTCATTTCCCAACCTCCTCTTTCTTTATGAATGATGAAGATTCACACTGGTGATTTTCCATTAGATGTTAACAGAACAGTATAGGTTAAATAAATCTCAGCCAAGAGGAATTAAATGAAATGTATTTGCATGTGATAAACATAAAATTGCAATCACAAGAATTACCTCCTTCCTTCCTTCCCTTGTCCCTGTTCCACTTTCTGAGGTTATAGGTCCCATCAGATGATTACGTGGGATGAACTGCAATATGCAACCTTTTCCCAGTAATCACTGAAGCATAAGGGCAAAAGGAAAGATCTAAAATTCTGGTTGACAACATTTGCTAACTCTTCAAAAAACTTCAAACGAAGAATGTTCAAGCCTATTTTCCAGCTTCATTTGCTTCTCAGATTGCTCTCTCCCTTAACTGTTACCCCTTTCCAGTATCATTGAGCAATGCAAATGATTATTTTTTTCTTTAATGGCAAGAAGTTTAACCTCTTTGTTGCCAGACATTTAAATGTAACAATGTGAGTGGCATATCTAAATGATACATCTTTAGTATATATTGGGCAATGACACCTGGTACATGATAGTGCATAACCCACATTAAATTCCTGCTTAAAATACATTAATTTAGATGTTTTTAGACATTAACTACTGATGTGACACTACAGGCACTGGATTATGTCTCTCCCCTTCGCTTTTAATTGCAACTCAAAGTACTATTAGACAGAAGTATGGTAGGAACTGTGGCATCACTAGAGCTGGTTGCAAAGTTTTCAACTGAACAAATTTCTGTCAGAATACACAGTTGCATCAAAATCAAAGTCTTTTGGAGAAACATGATTATTTCAATGATATTTGACAGAAAAATATCTAAACTAATCATTTCAACTTCCATGATAGTAAAATTTGTTTTAATATTTGTTTAATCATATTTGTTTAATATTTACTAAATTTAATATTTTCTATTATAATGTTTAACCTTATTCAAATAAAACATCTCAATG